TTTTAGTTTGATTTATTATTATATTTAACGATCTTTAAATACCCACTTTTATTGGAGGTTTTGGCAAAAAAATATGAATGTACGTTTGTATGTATGCATGTATGTATATCGATGTATGTATGAGTATTTCTCTCTTTGTGTGTACGTATGTGTGCGTTTCCTTTGTGACTTCCGTGTGTGCGTTTCTGTCATTATGTCCATGCGTGTGTGTGTGTGTTTGGGTGTGAACGCCATGTTTTCGTTCTCATTCCGGCAGCAATAATTCAATTGTCGTTTACTCTTTCGATAATTGACAACTTTGCCGTTCCAGCTGTGTTTTGTGTGAGGTTACAGCCCGGGGGGTGTGGAAACATTAGAAAATAAAAAATTAAGAAAAATGGTTCTTAAGGAGAGGATGAATGAATGGGAAATATAGCAGAGATGGAGGAAAGTGTGTGCTGAGCGGGTGAGAATTAATATTGATATAGCAAGGGGGTAAAGATTTGGCGACGAGAAAGAAGAAGAGAATAAAAAAAAACGGTCTAAAAAAATTTGCATGGAGGAACTGAGAAAACAAGAGTCATGTTTTAAAGCAAGGAAGGAAGGAAAGAAGGAAGGACGGAAAGAAGGAAGGAATTAGGCAAACGCAAAACGCACTTGCGCATTTAATAAAGTAAAATCATTTAAAATCTGATTTGCCTGAAGGAAGAAAAAAAAATACATGTATATACAGAAGAAGAATGCAAAAAAATGTTGTATTGAAGAAGAAAGCAAAAAAAAAAAATAAATAAATAAAATAAAAAAAATATCAGGAAAAGAAACGCTAAAACAAACAAAAAAAACGAGAGTAGGAATGAACGGAGACAACATCCTTTTATTTTCTTTTTATGTGCCGTGTCCCTTCAGGACGTAGGCGATCATGGCTCTCCATCCCCCCCCATACCTTGTAGCTCTCGATAATTTTCTTCCCTCTGCCACCTCCCCCAGACCACATTCTGTCATCCGCTTGCTTAAGCTCACCAGTTATGTCATTCATTGCTTTCCCTTGTCTCTCTTTCACTGTATTCGACCTGTGAGTATCAGATTCTCAAGCCCTCCTTCCTCAGTACCTGTCCCAGAAATTTCCTACCTCTTCTTGATGTTCTCTTTGCATCCTCTCCAAAACCTCATCGTCCCCTCTTGTATGTCTCGTTGCTTTCTCTTGTCTTGCTTTCCCTCTATTCGACCTGTGTGTATCAGATTCTCCAAGCCTTCCTTTCTCATTACTTGTCCCGGAAATTTCAGCTGCCTCTTCCTGATGTTAAGTATAAGCTTCCTCTTTGTTTGCATCCTCTCCAAAACCTCATCGTTGCTCACACGCTCGGTCAATGTTATCCTTAGCATCCTTCTGTAGAATCATACTTCCGTTGTCACGAGTCTCTTCTTCATCTTTGAGGAGACCGTCTAACATTCGTTGCCGTAAAGGAGGTCAGATATCATGTAGCAGCTCAGTACTCTTTTCTTTTGTTGCCAAAGAGATCGTCCTGTCTCACAATACTCTGCCCAGCTTTTGGAACGAGTTTTTGGCCATCTCAATACGTCTTCGGATATCAACGTCGCACTTACCGTCATCCGTCAAAACACTTCCGAGATATTTAAACTTCTGCCCATGCTTTATTTTAGTGTCCCCGAACTGCAAATAGCATTTCCAGCTCTTCCTTTTACTGACAACATAAAAAAAATAAAAAATAGAATTAAAAAAACAAAAAACCCGACCGATGTTTTAAAAAAAAAACATTTCATACATATCTCCTATTTGAAGCCGACGATTTTGGACCGGGACAAACGAGTTCGTATCTCACCATGGTCGATTTGTCTAGGGTTTGATAATACTCTTAAAGGTGACAAATTCCAAAAATGTTTGAATGTTGAACAAGGGCCTCAAAAGTGGAATAGGTTTAAACCCAAGCCTTGTAAATGAAACTGGGTAGACGAAACTAGTAATTAGTCACAACAATGAACGGGTAGAAGCTCTTTAGGCTGGGTTGGAAGTCTAAATTATGCAAAGGCATTTGATGAAGTACGCCACAAAGATCTGATAGAACGATTAGATAAACATGACATATGTCGGAACGATAAATGCAAAGAAAGAAAGAAAGAAAGAAAGAACGAAAGAACGAAAGGAAAGGACTATTACAAAAATGGTTTTAAATAAAGAGGGAATGTCTGTAAATATTACCCTCAACTGCCATAGTCAGCAAAAGGGGAAGCCCATCCTGCAAATTACACATTGGAGATGTCAAGATAAAAAAAAAACGCAATATGAACTCCATTGGACAATCAGCCTAATGAGCCTTATAAAACAAGTTATCATCCGAATCCTGAGACCTGAAATTGAACAAGAAGACAGTTTGCTCGTTAAAGACACTGGAACAAGGAATGCAATATTTATGCTCAGAATTATATCAGAGAGCAATGGAAATGCAAGAGGATGTATACTTATCTTTTATAGATTACGAAAAAGCCCCTGATAACGTATGTCACAAAAAACTGTTGGAAATGCTTGTTCTTCAATATTGACATATTTATATTTAAATTAGAACAATATAGTCAAAAAAATAATATCTGAAAAAACCGCCTGCATGCGGATATTTAAAGGAGTTCAATAAATTTAAAATAAAAAATATGTAAGACAATAGATGCGTCTTCTTCGCCAGATATTTTTCAAATTTTTGCGAGACTTTTTTTAAAAATTATAACCCTAGCATTTATCATTTACCGAAAACCAAAATTTTTAACGACATAACGCATAAGATGATACAATGTTGATAGACAAACAAAGAAACTACAAAAGTGTCCTACATAGAAGGTAAAAGGAAAGCGAGAAGAAAGGACTAAGCATCAATTGAAAGAATGCTGAATGCATTGTTGTTAGCAAAAATTTTTTAAAGCATGCAAATTACATATTGGGGATACCGAAATCGGATAGGTGCAATAACCAGTAATATCTGAAGAAATCGTATTAACCGAAGGCAGAAATTGTACACTGAGGGGACATTGGGATATTTCACAAATATGCATTTTTTTAAAAAATTATGTTAGTATTAGGAACCAAAAATATACAAAAGAAACAAAGAAAAATTCAGTCAAACCACGGGCCATGCGTGATATAAAGTGGGCATACAAATGACTGACTAGGCATAGATTTTTCCCAGGTTTATTTTTTAATGTCTTTCTGTGTTAAGACCAGTTGCCATCCAAATGTATTTATAACTCCTGCTATTTACTCATAATGGAGGGAGAACAAGAGGAAATCCATTTTCCAAAAAATTAGCACGAGAGTTTAAATGTCAGGATTCAATTGGATTCGACTTTTAATCGAACTCAGCTCTCCGATTCCTTCTATAAATGATATGCTATCCATTACTAAATCCAAGGCAAAAATTAATGCCACTTGGATCCTAAAAATAGCAGATCTGTTGTGTCGTGTCCCTTAGACTGTGAATATTTTTTTTCTGAACTAACAAAATTTAAATTAATTAAAAATAAAAAATTTTTATTTCTCTTCGTTAAAAATATTCGTTGAATTTTTTTGTTATGGTATTTATAATCTCCCCACTAACGATTGTTTTTGAAGGTCCTTGGTGACTTTTGAACCATTACCAAAATCATTGTTTCTTGGGCACTTATGACGTGACTGAAAATCATCATCCCTTTACATTGTAAAACAAAATTTTTGGATCAAAGATCTTATCCATGTATACATATTTTCAGAAGACCTCAAAATGAATTGGGCAATAAAAACTCAAGTTTTGCAATCCATGTGCCACATCTAGACTATATAAAAATTTGTTTTCAAATCATTTAATTAAAACTAATATTTTATATTATTTTTCATCCATATCTGATATTGAGCATACCAAAAAATATAATTAACAAAATAAAAAAAAGCTTATGAATAATATATATCAATAGAGGAAATTTTAAATAAATGACGAAATTCAAAGTTAAATAATATGCAACGTCAGGCCTCTTATACGGCAGTTAATGCTGGAAAATCTCATCACAACTGAAGATGAGAAATATTTTCAAACAAAATATGGTTCTACAGGAGGATGGTAATAAAATAATATGGAAAGAAGAACAGGTGAGCAACGATAAAAGGTTTTTGAATATTTTGAAATGAAAATAACAAATTTTTTAAGCAAAAGAAAGAGACAAATGAAATTTATAAACAATATTCAAGAAAAAAAAATCAAAAAATAAACACGGCATAAATAGGCAAGAGGGCCATATATAAAGGAGGGCACAACTTATTTCTAAATTGATAATTTTGTAGCAAATTAGGGAAAGATAAAAAAAAAAATAAAAGTTAACTAAGAATTTAACAAAAAAAACATTCATCTTTACGCATAAAAGATGAAGACGATTCCGTTAAAAAATTTGTTTTCTGTCTATATTTTTGAGATGAGGTATTATAAACACTAAACATTAATATTCGGACTATTGTCATCATCTTTGTCGCCATATTTATTACAAAAAATCCTTCAATATCTGTCTATATTTCTGAGATGAGGTATTATATACAAAATTTACATTATTCGGACTATTGTCCTCATCTTTGTCGCCATTTTTATTTAATGTTTCGGTCCTTCTGTATCCGTCTATATTTCTGAGATGAGGTATTATGTACACTATTTACATTATTCGGACTATTGTCATCATGTTTGTCGCCATATTTATTTAACGTTTCGGCCTTTCAGTATCTGTCTATATTTCTGAGATGAGGTATTATGTACACTATTTACATTATTCGGACTATTGTCATCATCTTTGTCGCCATATTTATTACAACGTCTCGGCCTTTCAGTATCTGTCTATATTTCTGAGATGAGGTGTTATGTACACTATTAAAATTATTCGGACTATTGTCATCATCTTTGTCGCCATATTTATTTAACGTTTCGGTTTCAGTATCTGTCTATATTTCTGAGATGAAATTATTATGTACACTATTTACATTATTCGGACTATTGTCCTCATCTTTGTTGCCATATTTAGTAAAACAACGTTTCGGCCCTTTATTATCTGTCTGTATTTCTGAAATGAAAAAGGTTTTAATATTTATATTATTCGGACTATTATCCTCATCTTTTAAGTTTGCCTTATTTATCGAACGTTTCGGCCGATGTATTTATTCTCCGGCCTTCTTCGGAATTGGAATGTCGAACTGAACTCCTTATTTCGAAAGTATTAAAAATGGCAAACAAAAGATGAGGACAATAAAATAATAATTTTAATAAAAAAGAAAAGAGTTCTATAAAACCATTAATTAAACGATGTGTAAACATTCGACAAGGAAAGAATTCATTCAAACTAGTCCTAACGGATTTTGAAACCTGACACTGTATCTTTATTCCCATTTGGAAAAATCCCATTGCAAGCTCATAATGAATGAAAATGTGAAAATAAACGCCGTTTTAAAAAAAAGAAAAATTTTAAAAATATATTTCGTTGTTTAAGCAATCTTCACTTTCAAAGAAAACAAGTTAGGTGACATCATTTGCTATACCGGTCTAACAGATTAGCTTTCCCTAAAACTCTTCTTCCTAGCAGGTCGTTCCCCATCTCAACATCACGACGCATGGCTGGCAACACAAACGGGCGTCACTGGACCTACTTTTACAGTCTGAAACCCAGTAATGAGCTGCTTCGAAACAAGCTAAAGAAAGAGAGAGAGAGAAGAAAAAAAAGAGAGAGAGAAAGATTTCAGAGAGAGAGAGAGACAGAAGAGAAAGAGAGAAAGAACATATAAGTTTAAGAGAAGAAAAAGAGAGAAGAGAAGAAAGAGAAGAAGATTCCTTGAGAAGAAAAAAAGAAAAGAGAACGAGAGAGAAAAAAGATAAAAAAAGATGAGACAAGAGAGAAAGAAAGAAAGAGAAAGAAAAGAAAAAAAGAAAAAATAAAAAAAGAAGAAAAAAAAAAAAAAAAAAAAAAAGAAGAAAAGAAATTTGAGAAAAAAAATGAAGAAAAAGAGATGAAAGAAAAAAAATGGAATAAAATTTTAGAAAAGAAAAAAGAAAAAGAAAAAGAAAAAAAAGAAAAAAAAAGAAAAGAAAAAAAAAAAGAAAAAAAAGAAAAAGAAAAAGAAAAAAAAGAAGAAAAAAAAAAAAGAAAAAAGAGAGAGAAAAAAAAAGAAAAGAAAAAAGAGAAAGAAAAAGATAAAAGAAAAGAAAGAGAAGAAGAGAAGAAAGAGAGAGAGAGAGTCCAGTTAAACAGGAGAAAAATAGAAGAACAAAGAATGAAGAAAAGGCTGTAAAGAAAAAGGGAAAAAAAATTAAAAAAATAAGAAAAAAACAAAAAAAAAAAAAAAAAGAAGAAGAAGAAGAAGAAAAAAAAGAAGAAGGAGATGATAAAACGAAAATAAAAGTAGCAGGAAAAAATAGAGAATAAAAAAAGAAAGAAAAAAAAGAAAGAAAAAGAAAAGAAAATAAAGAAGGCAAATGGAAAAGAAAAAAAGAAGAAAAAAAGAAGAAAAAGAAAAAGAAAAAAAAAGAAAAAAAAAAGGAAGAAAAAAAAGAAAAGAAAAAGGAAGAAAGAAAGAAGAAAAGAAAAAGAAAAAGGAAGAAGAAAAGAAGAAAAAAAATGAAAAGAAGAAAAAAGGAATCAAAGAAAAAGAAAAAAAATGAAAAAAATAAGAAAAGAAGATTAAGAAAAGAAAAAAGAAAAAAAAAGAAAATTTGAAAAGAAAAAAAAAAGAAAGAAAAAGGCGTTAAAAAAAAAAAAGGAAATATGGTATGATAAAGATGAGAAAAAAAAAAAGAATGCAAAGAATAAGAAAAATAAAATAAAAAGATTTGAAATGAAATAAAAGACAAAAAAATAAAAAATATAAAAAAAAACAGTCGAATAAGAAAATAAAAAAATGAAAAAAAACGTCCAAACAAAATATAAAAAAGTCCCCCCCAAAAGAAAAAAAACGCAAAAAAAGAGCCCCCATTCCCATAAAAAAATCTTAAAAGAATTAAAAAAAAAAAAACATAGGGTATGCTTAAGAAAGATGGATTTACGTTTTTTTTTTCCTCAGGAAGCGAAGATGTCAAATCACACGCACTTTTTTTTCTTATAGAACTTTATATATTGATTTGCTTCAATGTTTGCATGTAGATTAATTCTTGCACGTCTGTCCATGTAAACTTGCCGACTGATAGGAAACCATATTTTTTTATTTACAGTGTTTAGTATAGTTTGGCAGAAGGCCGCTAGTATGAGGCTTCCAGTGAAGATGTAATTCATTAGCAATGATCTATAATACCAGTTCGCAAAACATTACACAACGACAATCTGCCCATATTTATCTTAACTAACTACATTGTTCGGACTGTTGTCCTCAACTTCGTTGCCGTAATCACGACTTTTCGCCCGTTGTACGTTCCGGCCTTCTTCAGGTGATTGGAATTTCGAACTGAACACTTTATTTCATCCACCTGGGTAGATTGTTCTAGTTCCACGTGCCATGCCTCTTCCAGATGTCTCATTATCAGTTATCACCCTTTTAATTTATTTTTCCAAGTTTTTTATTTTTTTATTTTTATTTTTTACCTCTGTTGTAGCCAGGTATTGAACTCAAAACTCTTTGGATCAAGTCACTGGATTCTGCCAACACTTTTATCTACCCATGTTTATTGAGGAAGTGTTGCTGAGATCTGGTATGGCGACGTCTCCCCTATTAAAAGTAAGGCATGAATAGCCACAGGAGATTTTGAAATCGCAATTACGCTAAACAGAAAGCACGTCATGGAAATCCGAACACATTAATGAAGGAAGACATATTTATGTCGTTGTAGAGGGACGTCGACCACTTTGTTGGGCTTGTGGCGCCGCAGGGCATTTGTCGAAGGCTTGCCCAGGACAGAATCCAGAACCACAACCCAAAAAGAAAAAATGAGAAAAAATCGGCAACAACACAGACAAGGGTTATTGGTGCAGAGAATGGAATCGGCGTGCTGAGTTCAAAGCCCGGCCTAGTTAGTACGCTTTCACATAAATGCCTTTGAGACATCAACGTTAAAGAATCCAGTCTACCTTTCTATTTAACCCCGCACTGGAGTCGATAATAGATGAATTCATAGTTCTTTTCAAGAAGTCATCAATTTAAAATTTTACAATCAAGTCAGAAAACTCTGAATATAAAACCGGTTGGTCGTGGTGTTACCAATATTTTTTTTTAAGCATCCCCCCCCACAAGCAAGGCGGGAGTGCCACTAGCCCGCAAGGGGTTACAAAGAGTGGGAGCAAGAATAAAGAGGCGTGAAAGAGGAAAGAATGAAGAGAAGGACGAGGAATAGATCAAGACATCTGGAGATGTCGACTGACACTGCATTTGAATAGTTGGAGATTATAGCTATCCGCGAAGCAAGTAAGAGAAAGGGAGTTCCACAGTTGGGAGGTGCGGGACATGAAACTATTGGAGTAGAAAAGACGGCCATATTTAACTGTTTCAACAGTGAAAGGGTGGGACCGAGATGCCAGCCAAGTAGTACGCTTAAATTCACGCAGTCTGGGAACTAGCGAAATTGGCTCGTCGGAGCAGTTACCGTGGAAGTATTTGTAGAAAAGACAGAGGGAGACAACGGCACGTCTGTGAGAGAGCGACTGTAAACAAGATGCCAGATCAGGGCCAATCACATTGCATATTCGTCTCTGGTTTTTATCGAGGACCCTAAGACGAACAGCGGGGACTCCAGATCATATATGAAAGCAGTATTCCATGCAAGGGGAAATGGTTGACTTATAAATTTGAAGGATGGCCTCAGGTGAGAAAAACTTTCGGGTGTGACACAGACAACCAACTTTCCTTGCGGTAGATGAAGCTTTGTCGAATAAATAATGGTATATATATATACAAATCAGAGAAAGAAAAGATGGAGTAAAAATCCACTCTTCGTAGCATTTACTTTTAAAAAAGTGCTCAATACAAAGTAGAGCATTATATTATTATTATACTTTTATATAAGAGATTATATTAAAACGTTTTGAATTTGCTACACAAAAGCTTTCATGTTTCAATACTTTGTATTTCTTCAGGCGGTGGTAAGTAATAATAGTATTGAAACATGAAAGCTTTCTTAGTGATTCCAATATGTTTATTATAATCTCTTATAGAAAATATATATATATATATATATATATATATATATATATATATATGAAATAAAAATATATACTGTTTAAAAATAAACAAAATCCTTTAATTTCTTTTTACTGTTTTTAATAAACGTTTCGGTCTAATAAACCATCTTCAGGACATATTCATATTCGTTTATTAGACCGAAACGTCCGACGTTGACATATTAACGTTAAAAAGTCTAAATTGTATAAACATTTTGAAAACAAATTTTCCGTATATATTTTTTCTTCATATATTTCCATATATCCATATATTTGCTTAATATATATATATATATATATATATATATATATATATATATATATATATAAGAGAAATTACTTTGCAGGATTTGTCAGCTTCAAGTAGTTATTTTCTAACTCCTTGCTGTTGTCAAACCTTGCAAGGTAGTTCTTGTGGGTGAAATAGCTATACATATAGGGTTTTTTTGAATTTCTCTTTTATGTAATTTATTTATTTATATATGCTCTGTTATAAGAAATACATTGAGCTCTGATTGTGGATCTGTTTTAATATTTTATATTATTAGGATTCACTTGGATTATTTAACCATGAAATGTTACACACACACACACACACACACACACATATATATATATATATATATATATATTAGAGTTATAACCTTTTGCAAAATAATGGATTACTTTTATCATAATTCGATGAACATTTATTAAAAAATAATTCAGTTTATTAAAGTAAAAATCTCACCTTGAACATGAAACTTCTAAAATCGTATATAAGTAAAGCACGCTCTGGAGTTTTCTATGACTTTCTAGAATTTTCTTGAAATTTCTGAAACCTTCTAGAACTTCCCGCAGCGTTCTAGATTTATTCGTGGTCTTCTAGAACTTGTTTTTGTTTATTTGTAAATTTGTATGTTATGCTATAGCTATAAAATGTCAAATGCGTTAAAAATAAATAAGCACTATCAAATTACATCATTAGCAAATTAAAAAAATAAAGCTTCTGCAGGTTTATAACTTTTGTTTATTTGTAAGGTTGCATGTTATGATATAGCTATAAACTATTAAATGCAATAAAATATACGTACCATACAATTACATCATTAGAAAATTGAATTTTAAAGCTTCTGAAATATTTTGATTATTTGCCCTTATTGCGTATGACAAAATCAAATTTTCGGTTTGGGCGTGACCTTTTTAAAAACTAAAACAAATTAATGTCTTTTTCATTACTTTTGAATAAAAGGTCATGACGCAGAAACATAAGTTACAAAGAGTTAACCTAATATATATATATATATATATATATATATATATATATATATATATATATATATATATAAAAGTGAACATTGAAGTCAACACTTTCAGGCGACAGATGTTTCATGCTAGACGCAATTGTCGATTGCATCTAGCATGAAACAGCCTGTCGCTAAGAAAGTGTTGACTTCAATGTTCACTTTTATATTTACACACGCTCTATCTCTGATATTGAGCATTTCCCATAAATATAGCACAACTTAAGACTATATTTCTTCATATATATATATAAAATTTTGATAGACAAAATTATTCTTACATAAAATATCTGACGCCCGTAACAAAAATACAACACCACAAATCATCAACATCTTTCAAAAACTGTCTGGAGCCTTGTCGAAGCACATGCTACGCAAGTAATGAAAGAATTGTGGAATTTCGGGGGTGTAGCTACCTAGTAAGGATCAAACTCACTACACAGTACTAATGGTGAACCAGCTTAGCCTCTCTAGATAGTATCTCACACCTAGGCGCCAAGAGTGTTTTGTTGTTTTTGTTTTTTGATTTATTTTTTTTTGTTTAACACATATATGTTTATACCCAGTTATTTGAAGACAGGACGAAAAGGCAGAACTTGTCATTGACAGAACCGTTTTTCTATAGTTGTAGGGAAATCTTTGAAGTGTCTTTGAAGTAAACCGTGTTCTTTATTGCCTGTCCAATCCATCAACTGGAGAACGCTGTTTACGAGCTTTAGGAAAAACTCTTGCAATCGATAAATGGTTCCCACACAAATAAAAACGAATGTTGGGAAGCGTTTAAATACTCTCCTAGATCGATACAAAGAAGTTTTTGGAGAAAATAGTCTCTGACAATGAAAAATGGATTTTTTAAAGGGTATCCAAAACTAAAACATCGCAGTTACATTTTATGCATTAAACTAAATTGAATCTACTTTAAGAAAATATTTTATTAGTCTGGTGAAGTTAAAAAGAAGCAATTTCTTTAGAACTGTTTACATGATTCAAATCCGAGCAACAGGCACGTTTGAATGTCGATGACGAAGAAGACTTTTTGCAAAAAGACGGATGATTATTTTCTTACGTAACAAAACCTGTTTTATTTTTGTAAACAAACAGAACCAACCGCCTATTATCCATATCTGTTACTTTTACGTAACGGAATTTATTAAATAAACCAGTTTTTCAGTAATTAAATTAATATTAACCAACATGTATTGGTAAATGTTTCAGGTTTGGTTTGGTTTGGTTTGGTTTGGTTTACGGCATATCAACCTCAATGGGCTTGCAATATTGTTTCTTAAAAATGTATTGCTGGTAATATTTTTTCCTTCAAAAATGTATTGCTGGTAATATTTTTCCCTTCAAAAATGTATTGCTGGTAATATTTTTCCCTTCAAAAATATATGGATGGTAATAATTTTCACTTCAAAAATGTATTGCTGGTAATATTTTTCCATTAGATGTGCTTCTTCAAGAGCGGTTGTCATCAATGGCTAAAGAGGCCAGACTGTTTTGCTATTTAATCCATAGCTGGGGGATATATGTATTCATACCTTTTCTCCGAAAAGTTCTTCGAATCGATCTAGGAGAGTATTTAAACGCTTCCCAACATTCGTTTTTATTTGTGTGGAAAACATTTATCGATTGCCAGAGTTTTTCCAAAAGACTCGTAAACAGCGTCCCCCAGATGATGGATTGGACAGACAATAGTGAACACGGTTTACTTGAAAGACACTTCAAAGATTTCCCCACAGCTACAGAAAAACGGTTCTGTAAATGACAAGTTTTGCCTTATCACCCTGTCTTCAAATAAAATAAAAAAAATCACAAAAGGCTCCAGACGGTTTTTGACGTCAGAGATGTCCTTATTGAAGAGCGATGGCCATCAATGGCTAAAGAGGCCAGACTGATTGCTATTTAGTCCATAGCTGAAGGATATATGTATTCATAACATTCTCAAGGTTATTTTTTGCGAAAGTGAATGCAAGGAAATTCGGCTGGATTTTTTCCGATTTCTTCCGCCTAGACGCTAACAATAACACCCCACATTCAAGCATGTGTATAAAATGAATTAAAAATGCTAAAAATTTTGGCTGGGAAGGTTTCTGCATTGATGGAAAAATCATAATTCTGCCTCTTCTCTCCCACAAGTATTGGATTTTAATAGCAGGGTAGACTGGGTAACGTAGCTTTAGTTGGATAATCAATATAGCAACGGTCAACGCATTATTTCTAACCGTTGAGAAGAAAACGGGGTCTTATGGTAATAGTTTTCTTACGAACAATCTAAGCAATACACAGGTTATAGAAATAGGAAGGTGTAGAAAGACATGAGCATATACGTCCTAAATGTATTAAGCATGACCGCTGTCAGGATCATACAATTATTTTGAACTCCACAAACATTTCATTAGCTGCATATTATGTGCTTCACCAGAGTGACATAAGGTTT